GTGGGTGTGTGACTTGATTTTCGAGGATGCAGAAGTACGTTACGCTCTCCACAACGGAAGCAGAGTATGTGGCAATTGCCGACGTCTTGAAGGAAGTGCTTTTCTTGAGGCAGGTTTGGCGTTTTATGTTGCCAGATGCAGGTATGCCGTGCATTCCGGTCTTCGAGGATAATCAGGGAGCGATTCAGATTGCGCACAACCCGATCACGAACTCAAACTCGAAGCACATCGATGTACGGCATCACTTTATCAGGGAACTGGTAGAGAGGAAGGAGATTTCGATTACGCATGTGACGTCGGAGTTTCAGCATGCAGATTTCTTGACGAAGGCTATCAGCAAGGAATCTTTTGCGTTGCACAGAGACTTTGTGATGAATTTGCAGTGAAAGAAGTGTTTTGGGATCAAATCGTGTTTTGCCGTGGAGTGGAAGAGAGAGGACATGTACGGGTTTGAACAAGAGATGGAGAGAGTCAAGTGGAGATAGTAGTGTTTTGGAGAGTTAGTGTATGGGATTTTTCTTGGTGATTTGGAAGAGTTCGTATCCGATTGATTATTTTCGGACGTATTGTTTCGGTGTTGGGATTTTGAATTTTGTCTTGGTTTTGATTGTGTTTTGGGATGAACTGGTATGAGAAGGATGACTTTGATATTTTGCGGGAGTATGACGATGCATACGAGCAGGGGGGCTATTCGATATACTCGTAGCATAGTATGATGGTTGAGATGTTAAGTACGTACGTACGAATATTGCAGTGAAGAGATGCGGAGGAACAGGAACTTCTACATATTTTCCTTGGTTGTGAGAGGCTTTTGGTGAGGATTCAGAGAGATTCGTTGTGTGAGAAAGCATGAAGGCGTGACTCGATACCGTGATGGTTTGACGAGCACGAGCACGCCCCCGATTAATACAATAACACGGCAACAACACGTATAAAACACGTTTTCCAACACGTCTGCACGACGTCACCTACCCCTACGGCCCGTCATGGCCGAGGTGCTCTACACTCCCATCGCACACAACTGAGCCACCCGAATAATCGATCAAGTGTTACGCCTAGATTTGTTTTGTTTGCTGTCGAAGTGGTTGGGAGGCAGCAGGAGTTCCTGTTGCTATCGTTGGCCGCGTGATTTTCCTGTCGCTTGTTTGCGTATCCGCTTGTTTGGTAGCGGTATTGATTGCGATTGCCTTAACCCAATTACACAGGGTTTGGAGAAGGCAGCGTTTCTTACGATCCACCCAAAATGCCAAATTATCAAAAGGGGAGTATCTGAACAATACCGAACACGAGACCGGTTAAGAGTTGCGTCGGAGCCAAGGGCGAGGGCCGCCCACCCGACCACCCAACCAATCGATCTTGCTTTTTTCCTCCGACGACGCCCCGGGTATCTTCGGAAAAGATGTTGGCGTGTCACTGGTCCTGTGCGTCTCAGCGTCTCGACCACGATCCGGAGGAAGTCCTTTTTTTGCTCTTTGCCAGTGCATGGGTAGGGAGGCGAGTCCCGAGGGGAATACTCGACAGGAGAAGGTTACTGTTGGTGATCGTAGGGTCATCCTGCATGCAGGTCGTGCAACCCTTGCCGATTAATTTCAATAGGGCTTGAGTTCCTGCTGTGGTCAACTGCTGTTGTGGAATCTCACTCAAAAATCGGAAGCATTTTTATCTCCGCAGAAGCAACCTTATTTCTCCGCAATCTACCACGGAATCTACGAAGCTACCACATCTATGTGCCGGTTCCTCGCTGACGTAGACCACGTCGTGATAGCGGATGCAGAGTCTGTCGCGCTCTTCTCGTGGGGTGGAGGCATACGGGGCAGGGGCCAAGAACAAGGGCAGGTAACAGAGAGCCAGATCGCTAACGTTTTCCAAGCTTGAACAACTCAACACAACGAAGCACTTTGACTCGAACAGCCCGGCGAATCTCAATGAACCAGAGAAAACACAACCATTTGAAGTCGAAGCATGAGAAGGTACGAGATTTCAATGAACTGCAACAAGGTGCCTAGATATAGTATAAAGTAGTTGTTGTGCGTTGGATGGATGCTCAACAACAAACTACAGTATACGTTTCTCTACGACTCTTTTCGAACACCTGCAGATAGACTAACTCTCTTTTACCCAGACCCAATCGAAGCCGGTTCTGGGTATGCTCGCTCACGCCCCGGGCAGATAAATCTGCGCAAATCAGCGCTGGGAGGACGGCGAAAAGTGTCGCTCCGACTTCCTCCCAACCTCGAGGAGCCGTCACGGGAGTGCGCCGGAGCGGGGCATGTTGTTCTGCTACTTCCTCAAACAAAGGAGCGCCTTCGCCAGCTATGTCGTCTCGAAGACTTGAGGCCTGGAAGGGTGGTTGGCAGACGTGGGCGAGGAGAGGAGGCAGAGGACAGGTGTTGTATCCATTTTTTCGAAGGTCACTTTACAGTAGTAGTAGTACATGTACAGAGTAGCGCCTGGATCGGAGATGACCGTGGAGCTACAGACCCTTTCTACGTCTTCTACTCGCTCGAAAGATCACGAGTGAGTCTGTCCGTAACGGGCAGCATAGGGTAGAGCGCTGCGCACCCTTGTTGCAATGGTCGCCGCAATCTGTGGAGGGTCACGGACCACGTAGTAAGTTGTTTTCTCGCCCCGCGTACACAGCCGTAGAATATCACCGGCCAAATAGCTGTATGTAGACTATATATATAGTCTAGGTAGTCTATGTAATCGCGCACTTCAACTCTTCTTTATGTGGGCTAGTCGGTCGCCGCATGTATTGTCTGTTGTAAATTCTACACAGCTTAGAGGTGTCATGGACAAGAGTCAGATAGAACACGACCGCGTGAGCTGCCTGAAGGGAGATCGATGTTTTCGCAACGACCGACCGGAGATGACGGATGGTGTCACCCACAAGGAAATGACATTGACGTACATGACGTTCGTTCCAGTAGAGCTAGCAAAATCTGTGAAAGCGGCTATGCAACTTTCCCTGAAGGGCGAGTGTCTCGTGTTGATACGACGAGTACTTGCGAGTCTCGTTGTTCAGTAAGGGCGTAAGGAGCGCAAGCTACATTCATTATTGCCATGCTGTCGACAGACGTGGGACCCTTTTTGATTTGAAGCAGCTCTTCTTCGTTGTCCAAAGTCTAGACTGCATACATGTGGTCTAGATGATTATACTAGATATGGTATCTGCATACAGAGTCTGCAATCTACAGCACTGTAGTCGGGGGCTCTTCCGTGTAGACTAGTGCATGGATCACATGAGAACGAGTATTTCTTCCCGTCGAAGGAGTCATCCTCGAGGATGCGCCGCGATTGAAACATGCATCTCTCTGCCTGTGTGTCCTCATTCTGTTCGTGTCTTCCTTGATTACCACAGACCGTTGCCAACGCGCTATTATCCCGTCAGTCTCAGCGGTATGTATGTGTCTTCGTCCCATCTCTATTCTGGGCGCCAGTCTACACCTTTGTAACACCTTTCTGTAAATTTTGATGCACCAGCCGGGGTCATACACCTCGCTGATACCGAAACAAACATGGGCGGGCATACTCCCCCAATACATCCAAACGGGTACCTTGCCGAAGTAAGAACACTTCACCGAACCGTCACGGCGGCTTGGGGGTTGCGCCGCACGCGGCCCATACGGGACGACGTACTTGGTACACTTATCACGATATCACGGTATCTGCGCGCGGGCGTAGCCTTCCGGGGGTTGTGCAGACACGCGCAATCGGTAGACTCCCACAACAACATACACCATGGAGGGCAACGACCTCTCCGCCCTTAGCGGGGAAGAGCTACAGCAAGAAGTGGAGGAGATCGTCCAGCAACGAGTGCAAGCCGAGCTCAAAGCCAACAGGATAAACGAGGGTGAAGTCACCTACGCCCCACCACCTGCCGGCAACCCGGTCCCACCTACCGGCAGCCAGCCATCACCCTCCAGCCAGGGTAAAACACCTTCCTTCAACGACCCCAGCAGCGTCGCACACATCGTGGCGCAAGCGGCCAAGGCGACAGCTGAGGCCATCGCTGAACAACAGGGCTTTGCCCGCTCAGGCACGTTACGTGTAAGTCCAGGCTCAGAAATCGAACCTTGGCTTGGTAGTGTGAAGAAGGAGCAGGATCTGTACATTATGTTTGATATTTTTCGTGGTAAGATGATTTCATATTTTCAGGAGGAGGGTGTGCACGATGCGTTGGAACTGGAGGTTGAGGTCAAGGTCGGGAAAAGGGGTGTGAATGTAGGAGACCTTCGGAGACTTTTTGGTAATGAAGTGGTAGACAAATCTTTCAAACTGTGGAATATCCTTATCAGCAAGGTTTTGTATCCCCCGATTCAGAGCTTGATTCTGGCGTGTGAGAGTCCTCAAAAAGGCTGGAAAATAGTGACAGAGTTCTATCAGGAGAAAAAGCAGTCAGAAAAGTCGAGGTTGGAGCAGGACTGGAAGGAGTTGGAGATGAAAGAGTCCGAGAGTCCACAGGATTACATTGCCCGCTCAGAGGCCCTTCGCCTGCGTCTCGCATCTGTAGGCACGATTAAGGATGAAACAGATGCCAACAAAGACATTGCTCGTGGCCTTCCCTCTTCGTTGTATGCCGTGCAAAAAGGAATACTGCTTGCCCATGATGTCCTGACGTTGCGTACCCTTGAGACTGTGGTGAGGGACGCCCACGTGGAGATGGAGCGCGAGAGGAGCAAGGGGGAGAGGCGCGAGGTGGAGCTCGCTCTCGCCGCGTCCGGCATGGGCCGGCGCGGCGGGGGCAGTGGGGGGGCATCCGGGGGTCAAGACGGGGGTCACGCAGCAGCTGGCGGCCAAAATCGTGACGGAGAGAAAAAAAATATTGACATGTTCAACGACGAACCCGGCGGATTTTGCCGCTACCACCGGTCCGAGCTTCACACCAACGAGCAGTGTCGTCTCCAGCAGCAACTGCGGCGCGCGCGTTCGAGAGAGGGCGCCGAGGAACGCCGCTCGGGCGGTGGAAGCCGCGGTGGCGGCGGTAGCCAGAGAGGAGGTAGACCGCCGCCGGGGCCCGGCCGCGGTGGCGGGCGATGGGTGAGGATAGAAGGGCAGCAGCACCACACCGGTCATGGTGGCGGTGGCTGGAGCCAAGTCCCCCCCCCCGCGCGACCTCTTCGTGGACGTGGGCCTGGTGGTCGTCTGGGGCGTCACCCCGGGGGTCGTGGGCCCGCGGGACGCCACATCAGCGACGGGCGTGCCGAGAGAGAGCGGGCAGGAAGAGGCCCGGGGCACACGCGTTCTGGCCACGGAAGAGAGCAGGCGTACGTTGTGTACTACGCCCAC